CATGCATTGTTTTATACGTGCCTGACCATCCAGTCCTTAAAAACCAAGGCTCAGTTCTTGGGGGGTGGGGGAGCAGAGATTTAATTGGGGGGCACTGAGCTTGTTAGTGATCTTTTGTACTTAATATGACATTCAATCATTAACTTGTGTGTCTTAGCTTAATTTTTAAAGATACTAGTCATTTACATCACTTTAGAACTGGTAACCTAATATCACAACATTAGAAAGTGAATAATCTATAATAATAAAAGCGTAATATGCTAATTAGACCAGAGGACCTTCCATCGAAGCCAGGGCTTCAAGGGAAGCCCCAATCCTGGGTACTAGAGGGAAGCCAGTGCTGGCAGCTGGGGGAAGGAAGGCTCACTCTTCAATGAATTTCATGCATCAGGCCTCTAGTCCTTTATAATAAAAGGCTAATATGCAAATTGTCCCCTTGATGGGGAGTTCAACTGGGAGTTCGACCAGGGGACGGAGACGGCCGGCCAACCACCCACAGCCCCCCATCTCCCCTGGCTGGCCCCGCCCCTGATCAGCCCCCACAATCTGTGCATGAATTCGTGCACCGGGCCTCGAGTGCAATAATAAAACAACATCCACTACAACCTGCAGAGAATTTTCATTCCTCCGACTCAGATTTACAGTAAGTTTTCCATCAGGGCTTCTCAAAACTTGTTGCAGTTTTGCTGCGAACCTTCCAGCTCTCCTTGGTAACAGCTCTACTCCACCTTGGGGAGAACTTCCTGCAAAGTCTCTGAAGGTTTTGTGTTGTTGTTTTTTTCCATTTTAGGAGAAGCTATCCCAATCTATGCAGAAATAGAGAACTGTTCCTCCCGCCTGGTCGTCCCCAAAGCTGCTATTTTCCAAACCCAGACGTACTTGGCCAGCGGGAAAACCAAGACCGTCCGGCACATGGTCGCCAACGTGCGAGGAAACCACATCGCTTCCGGGAGCACGGACACGTGGAACGGGAAGATGCTGAAAATCCCGCCCCTCCCGCCGTCCATCCTGGACTGCTGCATCATCAGAGTGGACTACACCCTGGCGGTAAGCAGAGCTCTTGGCAAAACCAGCAGCCAGTGTGCCGAATGGAGCCGTGCCGGTGCCGTGGTCCTGGGACTATGCACATGTGATTCCTAGGGAACTGGCATTTCAGGGCGGCAGCACTGCACCAAACTGTGGACCCTATGAGCAAACTATCCCCCTACGGCAGCGGTTCTCAACCTGTGGGTCACGACCCCGTTGGGGGTCGAACGACCCTTTCGCAGGGGTCGCCTAAGACCATCGGAAAACACATAGATAATCACATATTGTTTTTGTGATTCATCACTGTGCTTTCATTATGTTCAATTTGTAACAATGAAAAGACATCCTGCAGATCAGATATTTACATGACGATTCATGACAGTTATGCAGTAGCCACGAAAATAATGTTATGGTTGGGGGTCACCACAGCATGAGGAGCTGTATGAAAGGGTTGCGGCATGAGGAAGGTTGAGAACCACTGCCCTATAGGATTTAATTAAATGACATGAAGGAATTCAGGTGCATGAAGGACACGAACTTCCTCTTCTAAGGTTATTACGTAAGCCACGCTCACTAGCAGTGAAGTGTGTTAAGGCCACGGCTCCCCGTCCCTGAGTGCTCGCAGTATGTGGTGCGCTCCTCCTGCCGTCTGGTCTGTCCTCCCGTTTATTGGGTCTCGACAATGGACAATTGTATGGCGGGGCGGTGGCAGGCGATAAAGGCATTTGTTTCTATGAAAAAATCAATGAATCAGCTGTTTCTGTAAGGTTTAACTTTGTTGGTGCCTTTTCGTTTTTTTAAAATATATTTTTATTGATTTCAAAGAGGAAGGAAGAGGGAAATAGAAACACCCATGAAGAGAAACACTGATCAGCTGCCTCCTGCACACCCGCTACTGGGGATGGAACCCGCAACCCGGCCATGTTCCCTTGACCGGAATCGAACTCAGGACCCTTCAATCCCTAGGTCGATGCTCTATCCACTGAGCCAAACAGGCTAGGGTTGTTGGTGCCTTTCTGTGTCTTTCATTCCCTTTTTCTTCTTTTTTCTTTTTGGCATAATAGGTGTATATTCACATCCCTGGTGCTAAAAAACTGATGCTGGAGCTGCCCCTGGTGATCGGGACGGTCCCATACAACGGCTTTGCCAGCAGGAACTGCAGCATGGCCAGCCACTTCAGCGTGGACATGAGCTGGTGGGCGCTGGCGCTGCCGGAACAGCCCGAAGGTAAAGGGCCTGGGCTTCTCGCAGAATGAAGCTTTGCACGCGAAGTACCTAAGCACAGGACAGGGAACAGAGCGAGGCC